ACTCATAGTGAGACACCTTCCGGGAGGCTGGGAGCTTGGGGTGGGCCTCTATAAAAAGGGGTGGCGCAAAAAGTCAAGGGAGCCATGGAGATAGCTCATTCAATACAGTGCTTGCTGTACACGCATGAGGGCCTGAGTTCAAATCCCCAGGACTCAGGTAAAAAGCCAGGCACAGCCGTGTGCTCCCGTAACTCAAGACTATAGAAGGAGACGGTAGTATTGCTGGGGCTTGTTCACTGCAAGCCTAGCTCCAGGTCTCACAGGAGAGACCCCATCTCAAGGGCGTAAGGTGGAGAGTGACCAGGACATGTGACTTCCTCCTTTGCTGTCATACCATATATATATATATTTACATAGGCATGCTGAATGGCACACATGTGCACATACCACATAGACACATAGACACACAGACACACACAGACACACAGAAGGAGAGAGAGACAGACAGACAGACAGACAGACAGACAGACAGACAGACAGACAGAGAGACAGAGAGAGACAGACAGAGAGAGACAGAGAAACTACCCTGGACTGCAGAATGAAGGAAGACAGACCTCAGGTGACACTGGTCCCTTACCCTCCGATGGACTTCTCCATGTTAACCACAACTCCAAAGAAGAAAATGGAAACACCTCTAGGTGTTTGATGGATCAATGAGCCATCCCAGCAACACCATGAGACATAGAGTCATGCCCAAGAGGTAGATAACAGGCCACTCTGACGTGACAGCCCCAATCACAACCTCTACTCGGTTTCCAGGTGACATTCCTCCCCACGGACAGATGCCACCATCTGTCTGTGATGATCTCATTTTGGCTCTCCTTGGCCCCTGGATCCGAGTGTCAACTTCCTGAAAGGCAGCTTTTGTCTGCCTGGCTCCCAGCACACCGCACACCGCGGCAGGGACACAAGAGGCCCTTACTAAATATCTGCAGAGTGGGCAAACGAATACCTAGCAGGTTGAAATGTTGAGCTCATATCTCCATCAGGGAGGGAAACTCCGGGCCCAGGTGGACACTGACAGGAAAGGATTCCTAAGGTCTAACTCAGGAGTCACGGAGTACCTGCATCTTGTTCTCAGATGCTGATGAGAATGAAGGTGATTGTCACTGGAGCCTGGGAAGGTGGTCCTATCACACTCCCTGGAAGGTCTGAGGTTGCAGTCGCCCAGCTCTCTCAGCCTCCCCAGGAGAGATCAGCCTCCCCCAGCTGGGGAGGGGAGGAAATCTCTGCTCTGATATCAGAGTGCTCCCGCTGCCTGCTTGAGGCCAGAGTGAGTCACGGCTGCTCAATCTCAGCCGGACCCAGTTTCCATGGACTGCAGCTTCATGCCAACAGTGAAATGAAGCCAGACAGTAAGGACTGGGGACTGGCTCAGTGGTCAGGCCCCTGCCTTCCTGAATCTCAGCGGTTCTCGATCTCCCTAATGCGGCATGCTACCCTTAAATGTAGTTCCTCGTGTTGTGGTGACCCCCGACCATAAAATTATTTTGTTGCTACTTCACAAATGCAATCTTGCTACTGTCTTGAATCATAAATGTGAATATCTGATATGCAGGATATCTAATATGCAACACCCAAGGGGGTCGAGACGCATGAGTTGAGAGCCACTGCTATAACCCATTTCCCAGCACTGTGAATTCAAAACAACAAACCCTGCAAACAGACTGCTGCAGGACAGAGAGCCCGAGCTCTCCTGAGCCCGTCTGGGCTGCTCTGCAGTTTAGGAACTGGGAGGCAGGCTCAATCCTCACGAGGCTCCCCGGTGCCACCTTCAGCTTTACTGAGAAGGGGAGCTTGTCAGACCAACGTGAGGGCTTGCCATGCCTCAGAGGCTGCTGGCCACTGCCCCACCATTACCCACTTACCCACTGCCTGCCCAGCTGCATGATTGGGAAAGAGATTTTGCTCTGGGAACACGGGCTGTGCTGCATTGATACCACGGAGGAGTTCCAGCCAGACCTGCCAAGTTTAGCCCATAGTTGCTTTTGTCACCAAGGCCCAGTGTCACCTGGTGTGTGTGGGGGTGGGAGGGAGAGGAAACCTCCGAGTTGCCGCTGCTCTTGGGGTCCCACCCATCGGGGAATTTTGGACCACCATCCCTGAGGACTAAGGGCCAAAGGCATTGGGTGCCTATTTCAACAGCCCAGGAAATCTCTGTGATTAGGCACCTGGGAAAACAGGGGAGAGGGGGTAGGAAGGCTGCGGTGCCAAGGGCGGCTAAGCGGGCACTACAAAGCCGGGGAGTAGTTTGTGAGGAGGAGACCCATGGCATTGCCAGCTCCGTGCGAGTCAGACCCCCATGGGCACTCACCCAGTAATTCCAGTCACCTAGAGGAGTGATGAGTCCCACCACCCCAGAGTCTCTGTCCTGGGTCACACAACTAGTAAACAGTTGGCTCAAGATTCCTAATCAAATCTGGCTGACCCTGAAGCCACTCTCTGTGTCCCGAGCCAATGGCTCTCATAAGGCTGAGTCCCCGAAGCCACTCCATGGGCTAGGCAGACAGGTTCTGCAGTCTGTCACCGCAAAAGCACAGAGACTGACAGGAGAAGGAATGGCTTTTTGATTTTGAAGAGTTTGCTTTAAATAATTCCTGGGCCCATTACTGTGTGATGCGGTTTAGGAGACAGACAGGCGTGTGACATTTGTTCACAGCCCATCTGAAAGAGCAGAGAGAGAATCCCTCATAAGGGAAAGCTCATTGTGAGTGATAGCAAGATGCTTGCCTGGCACCTGGGAAGCTGAACCAAGGATCACTGTAAGTTCTAGAGCAGCCTGGGCTATAGTATAAAACCCTGACCTCTCCCTGTTCCCCCCGCCCCCCAACTAACTGAACTATGAGTTCTTTCCCAGTGACTTGCTTATAGACCCTAGGCATCTCTAGGGACCCAGTGGCCTCAAGGCCTGCCACATTGGGAAACTTCTAACACAAGAACCTTCCAAAAAAAACACGATAGCAACCATTTGATAGCTTCTAGTTTGGTTTATAAAGAAAGACATTCAGGTTCAGAGAGGCAGAGCAACTTCCCCAAAGTCACACAACCAGTACAGGGCTAGGGGTGAAGTATACTTCCTTCAACAACTTGTGATTTTCACCCCAGGTAACACTTCTAGTGTCTTGAGATGTTGAAGTTCCTGTGATGGAGTCTGAGTTAGGAGATGGGGCAGTCCAGGGGAGAAACAACCTGTGTGATTCCACAGAACAGAAAAGAAGGTATCTCCCAGAATGCACCAGCCTTGCTGGGAAGAGAGGCAGCTCCCCTCCCAGGCTCCTGGAACAAGGCGCTGTCGAACTTAATAAGCCGACCTCACCAGGTCCCTCACTAATTCACTTAAGTGTCTGATAAGTTAACGACATCAAGTCTGCCCTGGAGTCCCCAGGATGCAGGCCACAGGAGGCAGGTTCAGAAACCCATGTCTCCCATGGGAGTTTGTCTCAAGCTTTTCTCTTAGCAAGTGGCTGATGTATAGCCCTATGGACCAGACTGGCACCAGAGACCCAGCCCATAAGTGCTGGGAGCATTCTGTGCTCCCTGGACATCATTACACTGGTGGCCTGTCCCTCTCTAGGGAGACAGAGCAGCCGCCAGATCTCTGCATTGTCCACTCTCACTGGCCTCTCCAAGACTGATCACAGCTGTCCTGCCGCCCTGGCAAAAAGCGGGTGGATGCCATGGCCAGGCTGGCTCCGAGCTCCTGCCCTGGCTGTGCTGAACACCTCATGCTCTGTACAGCTGAGCCCGCTACTCCATGGTGAGCCTAAAGGAGGCGCCATCCCCACGCTGCTCTTATGGAGGAGGGGCACGTGGCACACAGAGGCTGAGAAGCTTGTCTGGGGCCTTCCCACTGAAGAGCTGCAACCTTGCCCACTGGCCTCCTCTCGTGGGCTTTCCTCACTCCTGGGGCGCAAAAGCCCAGGCTTCTGCTCATGGGAAGAAACAGAACACCTCTTCTTCCTCCTCCACTTCTTCATCTTCCTCTTCCTCCTCCTCCTTCTTTGTATTTATTTATTTTTTGTCTTTCTTACGCAGACCAAGCTGGCCCCCAACTCGCTATGCAACCAAGGATGACTTTCAACTCGCAGTCTTCCTCCCTCTACCTACAAAGTGCTAGGGCTTCAGGCACCTAGCACCATGTCCAGTTTATGTGGTGCTGGGGATAGAACCTAGAGCTTCACGCATGCTAGTCAAGCATTCTACCAACGGAGCCACGTCTCCAGCCGTCCCTGCAACCTCAGGCTGGAACCTTATGTGGCCAAGTCACTTTTCAACTGTGACTGAGCCAAGGATCTGAGCCGGGCAGATTGCTCTGGGCAGACCAGGTGAGTCCAACTGAATGACATGTTTCGCTGAATGACACGTTTCGACATGACAGGGGTGAAGAGGTCAAAGGAGGAAGTGGTAGCTAAGAGGGTGGTGGCACATGGGACAGGCACACTAAGGGGTGCGGGATGCTTCTAGAAGCAAGAAAAATGGAAGAAACTGGTTTTACCCCGAGCCTGAGAAAAGAGCCCGCCGCCCTACTAGTTAACATCTGACAGACACCGACTTAGACATCTGACCTCTGGGAACTCTGAGAATGTGTGGTCAGCCAGCACCTTTGGGGAATTTCTTCCGGCAGCCACAGGATGTGGATATGGGCAGCGTTCCTACACCTGTCACCACAAGGCCTCCCATTCCACAGTAGTTGGTGTCACCAGGCACCACACAATGCCTTCCTCGAGATACACACATCTTGCAGTCCCTCCTCCTGGAGCCCGTGCATCAGGCCCAGCAAGTTGCCCTCACTCTCGGTTTGCACTTTAACCGGCAGGGCTCTGGCATGACCCAGGCAAACATGCGTTCTGACTCCCACATGAGGCAAAGGCTTGAGGGAGAAAAGCTCTCTGATACCTCATCCACAGCCACCCTGTTTTCTCAGAACTGTACTTTCAGAGTCCCAGGTGCAAACCTGGGGCTGTTGCTCAGTTGGTACAGGGCTTGCCTAGCATGCATGAAGCCCTGGGTTCAAATCTCCGTTTTATATAAACCAGGATGGTGATTTGTGTCTGTAACTAGGTACTAGGGAGATGGAAGCAGATGGATCAGAATTCAAGGTCATTTCTCAACTAAGTAGTAAGTTCAAGGCTAGCCTGGGCTACCTGAGACCCAACAAGACAAAGACCCCAGCATACAGGAGTATGACCCTAACCAAGGCACATGGGAGAAGGGCTGGCTGAGGCTTTCCATGAGAGACAGCCCTCTGTGGTTCTTTTGGTTATTTCTATCCATGAGGACACACTTGGGGGACATGTGTCTTTCAGTATCTGGACTTTGTTTATTATTTGTTTGTTTGTTTGTTTATTTAAGTTCCTTGGTGGAGGCAGTTTGAAAATCTTCAAAAAACATTCTTGTGCAGGATGGAACCAGTAAGAGACCGCAACTCTCTGCCTCCGGAGCCTTGCCTGCCTCTCTCCCTGGAGCAGTGGACCGCAGCGACCTCCCCCAGTGCAATCTCTTCCTGCCCTGACACTCACGTAGCCAGTTGGTGAGCCGGTTTCTCCTCTAACCACCTCAGAATCTAACCCGGCCCACCCAGGTGTCTGACAGGCTTATGCAGGATCAGACACTGCGTGGGTGTTTCATAAGTGTTCTTTATTATTTACAACCTATTCATTATTGTTTGAATATCACTATTTTGTTATTTATGCCTTCTTAAGTTTTTACTTATTATGCATGTACCTTTATCAACAACTTGTCATTTCTCCAGTATCACCAAACTTCGAGTTATGAGTCACGATTGTGTTCAAATTTTCCAAACCTCCATGATGAATTTTCAAGAATAATTTCAAAGAAAATTTTGAATTGCAGAGACGCTCAGACACCTGCTCAAGGCCCCACATTGAATGGCACAGAAGATGTGAAGCCTACACCCCATCTATTTAAGGCCCCCTGACACCCATCACAGCTCCTTCCCAGAAGCCCCTACCAGGTCAGGAGGTAAAATTCCTTTGTCCTTGAATTGTGTCCAGGTGTGAGTCACTGTGGCCGCTACAGCTCTGGTCCTTTCTGGCTGTGGTTTAAGTAACCAGTGTTGGGTTGTTTAATTATAAACCTGGTAGCAGGCTGAGGTGAGAGGCAGAAGGAGCTGGGAGAGTCCTGGCCCGGACTAGTCTGCTTGGTCATCGTGGTCACATACACACACGGGGACTTCCCCAAAGCCAGGATGCTGACTGGGTTGGTTTCTCTCAGGCCACTTTCGTTGGTCACCCTTCTGTGTGTGTCTGTGTCCTCTGCTCCTGGTTTGTTTTGTTTGTGACAGGGTCTCAAAGAGAGCAGGCTAGCCTCAAACTCATCATATAGCTGAAGATGACTTTGAATTCCTGCTCCTCCTGCCTCTACCTCCCAGGTACTGGGATGACGGACTTGGGCCACCATGCCTGGCTTGGCTTCTCTTCTCACCAGTTGCATTGAAGGAAGAGGGACAGCCATATGGTTCTAGGTCAACTTAGTCACCATTTTAAAGGTCCTGTCCCCAAACACAGTTCCATTCTGAGGTCCCGGAAGAATTCAACCACACATCCAGTCGGCTAGAACCCAACCCTGCAGGTGTCTGCATCCCTTGACTCAGCCCCCCTCTCCCATTGGCTGACAAGTTCCAAGACCAAAGCCTTTCCCACTTCACCTCCTGTCCCTGGAAGATATCTCCTACATCCGCCTACTTTTACAGAGAATGAAATCCCAGCTCTGTCTCCAAATGAGCAACTGTTTTGTACAGTAAATACCAAGACGCAGACCTTCAGGGGAGACAAAGCCAGTAGCCTCTCTTAGCCTGTGGAGGACCCACACTCCAGGCTCCTGTGGCCACTTAGTTTTGTATTCTCTGCAGCATATCTCATAGCACACTGAGGCTCCTCAGGTGCCCAGTAGAACTCCTGAGCTGGAAAACAACACGAGAGGGGTACAGAAACCTTGCTGGCTGCCTGCCCCTCCTCAGCCAGAAGGACCCAGCAGGACCTTTGGAGAGGCCTGTGCTGCCCAGCTCCCCTTGAAGCAGGGGAGCTGGCTAATTTTATCCCCTTTCCTACCTGAGCTGGAGGGAGCTGGAAGGTGGTGTTGCTTGCTAGCTGGGATTCTCATGTGGAGAGTGAGCGAGGCCATTCCTGACGTCTACTATCTCCTTCCTCCACGGTAAAGAAACTGACACTCAGCTCCCCAGGGCTTCCCAGAACCCAGACAGCATTACTCAGCCTCCTGGGCAAGCAGCTTCATATGACTGAGTTCTGGCCAATGAGGTCCGAGCAGCAGAGGGCTGGGGGCGCCCACTCAGGAAGCGTTCTTCAATGAAAAGGATATCTCTCCTCTTTTCTCCTGGTTGTCCTATGGATGTGACGGCTGGGGCTCAGGCATGGCAGGGGTGATGAATGACAGAGCAAAAAGATAAGAAGAGCCCAGGCTCCTGATGACCACAGAGCTGCCATTTCAACCCCAGACACCTGACCTGTGGGCTCTGTTTACATGAAAAGGAGAGTGTTTTAAGAAAAAAATCTTGCTGAATTCTTTTTTTCCCCTTAGGAGTTGCTCAATATATATTATATATATAATGAGGCTTCCACCTCATCTATATGATACATAATAATATATATCATATATGTGATAATATAGTACTGTTATCATTTATGAGGATTTTTTTATATCAAAGACATTAAGAGATTTAACCACGTGAGCTTACTTCATCTTCAAAAGAGGATGTGGGATCATCTCCCTTTTATGGTCTTTCTCCAAGCAGACTCTAGCGATGGCCTGGTATCCCTGTCACCTAGTGTTTACGTTGGGTTTTCAATTTTGATTTTATGTTATCTCATGTTGTACGGGTGTTTTACCTGCAGACATGTCTGGGCACCACCTGTGTGTCTGGCACCTGAGGAGGTCAAAGGAAGGGTGTTGGGTCTTTTAGAACTGGAGTTACAGGCATCTGTAAACCACCATGTGGTGTTTAGAATGAAACCCAGGTCTTCTGTAAGAGTAGCAAATGCTCTTAACCACTAAGCCATCTCCCCAGCCCCTGGTGTTCTTGTTTTTGCTTTTGAGTGTAGGCAGGTCACACAGCTTGCTTCTGGTCAGTTAAGGTATGGCTGAGGGGATGAGACAAAAGAGGCTGCGTGGGCGGTGATATGACCAAAGGGACAGTCTGCCACTCAGTGCTTCTGCTTCGATGAAGCAGGTGGGACTCAAACCCCTCAGATTACGATAAATCATTAAATGTGAGCTAATCAGCCTGAGGCATGTGCTCGCCCGCAGACGTGCTGAGGGGCCCCGTGGACTGGCCAATGACTGTCTGTGGGCTGTGCGAGGGCTGGGGAGGCCAGCAGACTGGAGTGAGGTGAGTCAAAGGGATTGATCATGTGGGAACTGAGACTGGGGGTGGCTGGGGACAGAAGCCAGAGGAAAAGGCATGTAGTTTTAGCCCCACAGTGGGTGGCCTCAGGGAAGTGAACGTCCGGTAGAGAGGACCAAGGCAGTTACTGCCACCAACACAGAGCAACACTTGGTTTTTGGCTTACCACCAGGTGTGCTCTGTGCCTCCTAAACCTTCCGCTTCCTCATCTTTAAATTGTTAATAATCATGCTTCCCAGGGCTGGAGAGATGGTTCAGCAGTTAAGACACGTACCACTCTACCAGAAGACCTCGGTTGGGTTTCCAGCACCCACATTAGGAAGCTCACAAACACCTCCAGGAGATGATGCTCTCCCTTCTGACCTCTGAGAGTACTGCACACACATCCAGACACAGACACATACACACACACACACACACACACACACACACACACAGACATAGAAACACACAGACAGCCACAAGCATACACACACAGAGACATAGACACATACATCCAGACACAGACATACATGCACACATAGAGCCATAGACACACACATACAGACACAGACATACAGACATAGACACCCACAGACACACACATAGAGTCAGACAGATACAGACAGTCAGGGGCGCGCGCGCGCACACACACACACACACACACACACACACACACACAGCTTCTAGGAGCAAGGAGGCTGCCCTCTAGAGCCTCCCTTCCAAATCTGGGGATTGAATCAACTGTAAATGAATGGCGTTGCAGGGGCTGGAGAGAGGAGTGTCTGAGCAGGGCCTGGTGATGCAGGCATATAATCAGAGGTATTGGGTGAAGCTGAGGCAGGCAAGTTCAAAGACAGCTCTCATCTACAGAGTGAGTTCAAAGCCAGCCTGGGGAACTTAGTGAGTTCTGACTCAAAATAAAAGTAAGAAGAGGGCTGAGAATGTAGCTCAGTGGTAGAGTGCTTGTCTAGTATGCACAGGACTCCAAGTTCAACCCCCAGGACTACAGAGTTGGAGGTAGGGTGCTACTGCGTCTGTGCAGGGCTTTTCCTTGTTCATGTTCCCCGAACAAGGTTCAGCCACTATCTACACAGTCTTTACAGTGGGTCAGTCATTACAAGTCATCCCGAGGGGACATAATGTACACAGGAAGGCCTTTCAGGCTCAGTGCAAACAAGACGTGGGGGGGGTGTGTGGCGAGAACATCCTTGGTTTTGGATCTGGTACCAGTCCCCTCTGCATACTATGGTCAGTGATATATAGAAAGTGTGTCCTTTGACCTCCTTTCCAAATCTCACCATGACTATGACCAATGACTTGGCCAATGACTACGGTGTAAACCTTCCTATCATAGCCAGCTTGAGCCAACACAAGGTCCTTGTGCTCAGGGTAGGCAGAAGCATGCATGGTGCTCTAAGAACTGTATCCCTGCTTTTCAGTCCCTGCTGAAATCAACTGTGAAGAGTCCTATTCCTCTTGATTTGGCTACTATGTTTCAAGGCACCAAGGTTTCCTCCAGAATTAACAGGCAGCATCTCTTAGGAGAAGTGCATTAGGAGTGTCCCGGGTCTCTCCTACAAGCCACAACTCCGAGAAGGCCTTGAGGACAGAGATGAGGCTCAACACAGGAGTAGTCTCCAGCTGGGGGCCAAGAGAGGAAGGGTACTGTGGTGACACCTGGCAGGGTCTCCAGGGGCCAGGTGGGATGTTCTGCACCAGGGACAGTCCTGTCTGTGCTCACAGTGCAAACAGGACAGTTATAGAATTCTCCCAACTCTCTGCCATTGAGAAGATCTTATGTGCTCTATGGCTGGCAGGATAGATATCCAGCAGCGTAGCAGCTTAAAGAAAAGCCAATCTATGTTTCTGAAGTTCCAGAATCCTACACTCGAGGAAGGGCTAACATCTCATGGAAATCCACTGTGTAGCCTTTCACAGCTTCGCGATGTCACCAGCATCACCTGGTTTTGGCTCTTTCTTCTATCTTCCAGACATGCTCCTAGCACCCTGGCCCTCCCTGTTTGCCTACCTCTTCAGACTCAGGGACTGTCGAAGCCAACTAGATGAGCCAAGGGTACCTTTTCTCGTCAAGATCTATGACGCAGTCACAGGCGCAAAGGCCCCATCACCATGCAGGCATGTATAGTCATGCCTGAAAATTTCACTCTCCCCTGGTGAATTTGGGGCAACCCAAAATTGTAAACTTACTTTAAACATAATGTGATGATGCTTTTAGGACTTTTTTTCTTTTTAATAGCTCAACTGCACAGGTCTCAAGAGTGAACTTTGGAGATGAATCACCCTGTCATCAGCCTGAAGGTTAACAGAGACATGATTCTGGGAAGATGGTATGACCATCCAGGGAGAGGTAGAGGTGTTACTCAGCCAGCCCAAATGGCCACAGGTACTCCATGACTGGCTGTTTTCTAGCTAAGTATCATGAGGCTGATCTCTCGGGGCTCCTGGTGTGTTGCTTTGGGTTACAAATAAAGGGTCATATATTTTACTGGGGAGAGGGCTTTTGTTCCTACAGGGAGCATCTTCAAAGTCTTCCAAATGATAGCATGCCCTAATGCTGTCACCAGCCCCGTGTGA